ATACTCATGTATGTTAGCAACCATGCCCAACGACCTTTGTCTCATTCAGAACCCTGCATGCCATGCGTCAATCAACCCCTGCCCGTCCCTTAAGGAAACCCTTTGCATGCATAGCTTCTCCAGAAGCCACCATCTTCTCTCCATATATGCTTGTACATGTTTATATCATGTGTAAGAAATACTCCATTTTGAGCGTAATGATAGTGAGATGGGAAAGGGAAAAGGAAGTGATGAGGTTTTGGTGGTGTGTAGTGATAGGAATATGGGGACAGGGATAGCAATGTGGGATATGGAAACAGGAGATCGTATTATGCATATACCAACTTGTGCTTCTCCTCTTCATGGCTTGTTGTGTCTGAGAGATCAGTTTCTTGTAGCTTCTCAGGTTAACAAACATGGGTCTGTTGGTGGCGGGGCTATCTTCACTTGGTCATTGAACAAGGTAACAAAACTCAAAACTCTTTTCGTCCTAAATATCTGTTGTCGTAATTGGTCTATAGTCTCTAGTGATGAATCAATTTCACTCAATAATTTCTTGCAATTTCTTGTGATTTTCTTTTGATCGTCATTGGTTTGGTGGATATTGCACCTAAAGCCTGGATCCATTAAAGAAATTGAATCAAGTAGGCTGCTTCTCCTTTTTAGTTACTCTAATGTCTTCTTTTTTTGTTTTGTTTTGTTTTTTTTATATCGAGGATCATGGACGTTCTTTTTTATATTTAGCAGCGAAAGCCCATCACAACTATTAAGCAGGGTAGTTGAAGACTTGAATTGGGTTTTGAAAATTTTGAATTATGATTCTGCATTAATATAAATTTGTTTATATAATTGATGTCTACAGATGAACTCAGATTTTCCAAATAGTTTTGAGTTCGGTTATAATTTCTTCAATTTCCCTTCCCAGACACGGGAATAGAATTATTTGCATGAAGCGGATCTTAGAAAAAGTTTTCTGCATACTTCAATCACATTTACTTTTCTTAGCTATTAGATGTAATAAGTTTCTGGTTGGAATTGGTAAGATACTAATATGATGGAAGTGACTTTTCTTTTTTTATTTTTATAGATTTTGCTTCTTTTTGCTGATCTGCCACAAACGTATTAGAAAATGGGGAAAAGTAGACGAAATCAAGCCAGAGATTCCGAATTGCTATAAAAATCTTGCTCATTTTATGTTCTGATGTTTCAGCCTCAACAACCTCTTCGAAGCTACCCGCTTGAAGCCATCGGGCCACTTGGTTGCACCAAGGACGGCCTGTTTCTTGCTGGTGGTTCTCCGTCTGGAAATGTTTACCTCTGGGAGGTTAGTTTGCTAAGCGCTTGCTTGTTATTTTGCATAAGAGGAGGAAAAGAAAAATGGAAAGAGCCCACTTATATAAACGAAATATGTTATTTCCTGTCAAGAGGTCAAAACTCTGTTTCTTTCGACGAGTTCTTTTAAAACTTATATTGACTGCATTTTTTCTCATGTTCTATGATAAAAATAACCGATTCTTTTTTTTTTTTTTGCTGAATTTGATGGTAAAAATTAGAGTTTGGACTTCATAATATACTGTCCCAATTCTGAAATAGATTCTAATAAGATTGTTATAACTCGTAGGTTGCAGGTGGAAGATTACTGAAAACCTGGCGTGCGCATTCCAGGTGCTTGAAATGCTTGATTTTCTCTAATGATGACTCCCTTCTTATTTCTGGTTCAGAAGATGGTGTGGTCTGTGTGTGGTCTATGGTTAGGTAAAGATTGAATCTCTACTGCCAACTCCTTTATCATTTGTAGAAAGAAGTTTGAAGAGCGAATCATATGAATGGTTTATGCATCATACTGATTATCAAATTGATGGAAGCTTGCTAGATACAGAAGATTTTGGAAGCTCATGTTCATTGTTGCACTACTCTTCGGAGCATACATCCTCCGTCACCGGTCTGTTGACAACATCAGGCATTGCAAACTCAACTTTTATATCAAGTTCTCTTGATGCTACATGCAAGGTTCCTGGACATGTATTAGCTTCATTTACAATTCATATAAATTTAGCATTGAAATTTCTTATGCTCAGGACAGGATATAATTTCGACTTTTCTAGGCTTGGGACGTGTTCTCAGGTAGGCTTATACAAACTCAGGATTATCCACTAGGGATAACTGCAATCGTCACTGATCCAGCAGAGCAGCTCCTGTTCGCTGGAAGCATGGATGGAAGAATATTTGTTAGCGTGCTTGACATTGGACGCCTGGAGGATCCTTTAGCTGTTGCTGGAGATGAACCAGTTGTGCTAAAAGGACACAAGTAATGTATGATGATTAAGTTTGTTGAAATTTTTTGAAGAACGAACTCCCTCGATATAATAGAAATGGTAGAGGAAAACAAAGGAAAATCTGAAAGTCTAACATGTAAAGTTACTGTTTATAGTTAGCAAATCAGGTTTTAGAACTAACTGAAAATTCCAATTGCTTCAAGTTTCTGAAATGTGCAGTTGAATTGTCAGACTGATTACGCATAAGAAAATCATCTGAGATTTGTGACAATGACTGACTCACCTAAGTTATCTTCATATGAGTTGGTGGATAGATATTTCATGTACACCAACAATTATTTAGTTTTTTTAGCATGATTCTTCTCTTATCTTGCCCCAATAGCATCTGATAGTTATATTGAATGATTCAAAGAAGTTCCTGCCGTCAATGCAGTGGATCTATAATGGCTTTGACCTTCAGCTCAGTGGGTCTGATATCTGCTTCTGAGGATTGCACTGTCTGTCTCTGGGATGTCGTTAGCCAGGTGATCATACGAAGCTTTAACCATCAAAAAGGTAAACATGACCCTTTTTGCTTCTCAATCTCAAGAACTCATTGTTTTTTATGTTACTGTTCTGTTCTGGTACCAATTAAGTGGACGATCTGAAAACGAATGAAAGCGTTTCATCTTTCACGGCATTCTCATTAAGTGTTGTGGATTGGAAGTTTCTTGTTTCTTATTCAACGTTTGACTGCAACGTTTTCCTGTTTTGAAATTTGAGTGATTCTGTGCTTTCTCAAACAACAATATCAATTGTTTTCATCTGTAAGCAGGGGCAGTAACCAATCTTGTAGTGATTCCACGGTCTTTGCTGCATTCTGCATCAAACCATCGAAGAGTTTCCAATCAGTTCCGCGTTTCAGTGCTCAGTAAGTGTCCTCAGCCAGCCAACTCATCTAATGGGATTCTCACTCTCCTTCACACATGTTCTTCCCCCAAGGATCATCAGGCTTCTGTGGATCTCAGAAGAACCAATTCATTGAATCAGCAAATATTTGAGATGGAGGTCTCTTTTTCTCCTGTCTAGTATGTTCATGCTGCTGGTTACACGCATATATAATGAAAGAAGATGCATTGACATGCAGAGAACATACACTATGCTAATTGCAAAAACACACACAAATATCTGCTATCTTATACAATATAAAGAGCAGTGAAATAAATTTTGCCTTGTTATTTCTTTTGTGTTCTTCAATATGTACAAGTAGCATAAGATGCGTTCTTATTTCTCTGCTTTGGAATGTAAGCAGCAAGAACAGACACCTGCAGCCATGCAAATGAAGGTAGAAACAAGCATAGACCATCGTACATGGGCAAGAAGGATGACAAATCATGTCATGGAAATGAACAGGCATTTGCAATCTCGTCTGCTCGACTTGATGCAGACTCGATTGTTATTAGCTACTGAAAATGATTCACCAACTACAAGAAAGAGCAAGAAGCTGAAGATCGAAAGTCCACCACTACAACAACAAGAGAAGATATCACAACCCCCTAGTTAATCTTCCATGATTTCAACGCAGGAATTACCAGGAAAAGATACGAATCTGGCACTGTATTATGTCTTTGTTAGGGTGTAAACGGTGCAAAAGGTAAAAAGAAGAGAGATCAAGGGCGTTCTTATTCTAATGATTTGCCAGAGCTCATGCTATAGAAAAACTCGAATCACGAATTCTTAAGTGCTTGCATTTGCTCAGTAGAAAAGTAAGGAAACTCTCATGCCTGTTGTGTATCTGCTAAGCAGCAGTGCAGCATTCTTCTTCATTATGCCACTCACTGTGGTTGTGTTTCTGGTAAAAGCCATATGAAAATAGTATTGCAACTTATGGCAAGCTAGATGCTGGTTTCAGCTATTATTGGCACTATTTGGGAATCGTGTTATTAAAAAATTTAAATTTTTTTATTAAAAATTAATTTTTTTTGTATTTTAAATAATTTTGATATACTGATTTTAAAAATAATTTTTTTAAAATAAAAAATATTTTTAAAAACAATTATAACTACACTTTCAAATAAATTAAAAAAAATCTACAGCACTAGCAGGTTATCAATTATTTCTAGCCAAACAAATTGTTAACACAAATTATTATTTTGGTAGCGATTATTATTTAAAATATTTTAAAATATTTTTTTTATCTTAGAATATATTAACCTAATATTTTTTATTTTAAAAAATTATTTTTAATATTAACATTTTAAAACAATAAAAAAATTAAATTTTAAATAAAAAATTTAAATTTTGTCCAGCTTTTAAACCCAACACCGAATAAAAGCTTGAAATATGTTGTTATTATAGGATGATTGGTAATTAAAAAGGTTAATTATTTGGATTTAATTTTTTTTTTTGGTGCTAATAAATTAGGAATTGAAGAGAAAGAAGAATAAGTATAATTATCCCCTTTAGTTCTAATTATAAATTTAATTTTTATATTTTTATGCTTATTTATAATTTATTTTTTTATTCTTTCTCGAAAAATAGAATAAAGGAAAGACATTTGGGTAAAATGAAGAAACTTCACCACGAAAAAAGGTATTAAAACTAAAAATAAAACTATTAAATTAATTTTTAAAAACTACAAGGACTAAGTTATAATTAAATGAAGGAAAAATTTACGTACAAATAAAAAAAATCAAAAGTCAAAAACGCAAAAATATCCCCAGGGGCGGGGTTCAGAATGACGTGGCAGGCAAGACGAGTGTTATTGATGCAACAATCTTCAGTCTAATAAAATCCACTGCCATACCCTTATCTTTCTTACCGAGTCTCAGGCCTCCACCGTTCCACTCTGCTCTCCCTCGAAAGACATATTTCCTCCGCCATGATTGCGCTGAGCCGCCATTCCTCCACCGCAAAAGCGGCTGTACCGGCTGTTTACCGTCTGTTTAACATCACTTTGAGCAGGTTCTTCAGCACTGCAGGTGCAGCAGCTGAGGCGCAGCTGGACCCCCACTCCTACTACAACAACGAGCCGCCCCGACGCAACCCGCTTGGCGCCATGGACGACACAGAAAATTCGGTTCCAGGAAGAGGAGTGCAGTGGGCGTTTATAGGAAGCCCACGCGCGAAGAAGCGCGTGTATGCTGAGACTCTCTCGAAGCTTCTGGAAGTACCTTGCATTTCCATGGCTAGTCTCGCTCGCCAAGAACTTAATCCTCGCTCTTCTCTGTATAAACAGGTCTCGAAATTAACTAATTAATTAAATGCCTTAGCTTATCTATTTACTTGGATTATTTATTAGTGAATTCATCATGGCAAAGGTGAAGACTATTACAAAAAGGAAGTAAAGGGGAGAAATTAACACAAAATTGACAAATTGTATCTAATTTAATTTACATTGAGAATGATTTGTGGATTAAACTGTGGAACTGCTTATCGTTAGTTTTGAAACCAAAAAGGAAATCGGTAGAAAATTGTGGCCCTGAAGATTGCTGATTTTATTAAGTGGTATTATAAAGATATTTTTATTGTAATGGAGATTTGACAGTGGTAAGCTCTCATCTGTGGTTGCTTGTTGATTTTAGATTGCAAATGCTGTGAATCGTAGGATGCTTGTTCCAGAGGATATAATTTTTGGCCTGTTATCAAAGAGGTTGGAAGATGGGTATTACAAAGGTGAAACTGGTTTTATTCTGGATGGAATTCCTCGTTCACGGTTACAAGCTGTAAGTCTTCATTGTCAAAAACTGGATTCTTAAATTCTTAAATTTTTAAAGGGGTCAATATGAAAATTAGCAATATTGGATATTTGAAAATTTTGGGGGAGAGGGTGAGGTGGAGCCCCCTCATGACTACCATACATACCGACCCTGTTCTTGTAATAAAAGATAATTCACTTGACATTGTTGTCATTTCCATGCTAAGAAGTACCCTTTTCTTGGAGTTTTTCTTTGGGATAGAGGACATATAGTTTATGTTGTTGAGGTTGGTATTATAGTCTTTTGCACTTTCCGGGATTTGTTTTTAGGTGGATAGCTGCTTATGAAGTATAAATCTGCTAGAGTCAACACCACCTGGTACTGATTTATCTGATCTATTTTCATTTTCTTTTGAATCTGTGAAGGAGATTCTTGATCAACTTGTGGAGATTGATTTGGTCGTGAATTTTAGGTGCGCTGATGATTCCTTGGTGAAACACCAAGAAGGTAGTTTCTTTTCCAAATCTTGTGAAGTGACCAATTCCTGTGGTCTAAATATTACCTCATATAAATTATAGCACTCTTCCACTGTAATTGCAGAAGGTATCTGGAAAGAGAGAGTCTATGCTGAACAGGTAACGGTTGTGCTATTATCTTCTTCCTTGTCATTTTGTTGATTGATTCCTATTGCATGGTATTCCTTTTGTGTGGATTATTTTTGGACAACTGCCAACCTGCACACAAAGACAGAGAAAAATGAAGGCCAAAATAAGATTTAGTTTCCCTTTATGTTTTGCTGGAGATTTTTCATATGTCCAGTTTTTTTCTTTTTTTACTCAAAACCCTTTCTTTTGTGAAACTGTAGTTTCCTATGTAATATTCCTTTTGTGTGCATTATTTTTTGACAGCTGCCAACCCGCACGCAAACACATGGAAAGACAAAAAAGTTTAAAAGAGGATTTAGTTTCCCTTTATGTTTTGCTGGAGATTTTTCATATGTCCAGTTTTTTTTTAGTCAAAACCCTTTCTTTTGTGAATATGTAGTCTCCTTTAAAGCAGGGTTCTTGGTCCTCGATCTATTGCACTAACAATTTAGATGATACTTGATTCTGCTAAAACTTGTATTATACATATCTTACTGATAGGATCAGTACAGTTTGCCTTAGGATTTTTTTTATCATTAAATGTTTTATTGTCTCCTCAGAGCAAGCCACTAGAAGATTATTACCAGAAACAAAAAAGGCTTCTTGACTTTCAAGTAGGCAGTGCACCAGCAGAGAATTGGCAGGGGCTGTTGGCTGCATTGCATCTACAACACATAAATGCTGTGTGCTCTTCAAAGAAACCGACCACATCATCTAGCATTCTCTGAAATTCTTATCACCCTATATTAGATTGAGATGTCAACTTTACTGTAAATACAAGTAATGTGAATAGCGTCACAAGGAGGAAATTTCAATAGCGAATGAGATGGGAAATGCAAGTTTCCTTGTAGTTTCTTGCTTACTAATTGAAAGAACAGAAGAAGGTGTGATGATTGAAGTCTGCAATATATAGTCTTTCACTGGTAAATATGAGAAGATCAATGTTCTTGTAGAATAACAGATACATACAGTATCATCACTGGTTTGGTTTCCATCTTTCCATGGAGTTCCAAGGTATGCTAGAAAAGAGCTTTCCCTCCCCAACAATAGAATGAAAACCAAGGGCAGGTGAGGAGAGTATTATCCAAGAATTGAGCTGTGGACAGTCGATCCCCATCTGGACATATGTCCACAAGAATCTCAAATGGTAAATCTAGGAGAGTCGAAACTGATTTTGTTTGCCAAACGGCATATCAATGTTGTAAAGCCTTTGTATTATAAACACTATCATCGTTTTTCTGCTTTCGGGCTCCAATCTGATTTTGTTTGCCAAATGGCATATCAATGCAGCAGACATCAACTTTCAATCCATCTCTGAATGAAATATTGGAGAAGTAAAACCTTGATTAATAACCTGAGATCTCTCGAAACATTGACATTTGTTGCAGCTTTTACCAACAATAGTAAATTAGCAAAAATGAGTTGTGTAAATTTCTTCCTTGCTAATGGATCTTTGGTTAGTCTTTACAATGGATACATACTAGTATGCTACAATTCTTGAAAGTGGGAAAAAGTGATGATACATATTGCTATTTGGATTCTCAAATTGAGGTAAACAGGTTCAAATTTGTGTTGTGCAACTGATGCTGTGATGATACGAAAGATGGGGACGTAATCTCTTGGAGCAACTGATAGACAACTCATCGATGGTGTTCACCATCTGCTGTTCCCTGGACCTGAACTGCATACTGCAAGTTCCAAAGAATGTCCTCAAATGATGGACGACTCCATGATTCAGAACATATGCATTTGTTCGTTATGGTAACCACAATTGATAAAGATTCTTGTGAGCATGTGGCCAGAACAATTGGGCTTAACAATTTTTGGCGCCCCTCTTGGCTGCTACAAGATGCCTGAAAAAGTGCGGTATATTGATGTTAATGTCTGATAAGTTGTCATCAACCTTAAACCATCAATCATATATTGAAGAAAATGGCTAAATGGACATAAGCGTAGCTATAAGTAGTCCTCATAAGAGTTTCTGCACCTACCAATTCATCTAGTAGAAACTTGTCTCTTCTGGCAGATACTGAAGGGCCAACGAGTGATTCAAGTAATATGAAACCAAAGCTACAAACATCATCCTCTAATCTTTCCAATTGCCTGGAAAAAGGGATTACATGTAGGTAATTATCTACGCAAAAGGTGAATGAATTTGTAGTTTGCTTATGGTCAAGTTAGTTCAAACCATGCACTTCATGATTTCTGAAACTTGATAAATTGAACCAGAATCCTTGAGGATCATACCATGATGATATTGTAGATAAAGGAAATCTTACCATGATTTAGGGCCTTCTCCATTTTCCTGAAGACAATATAACCCAAGTCACAGACTCATAAACCTCTCAATCAAGAGTTTATTGCAAGGGTGGCCATTTGATATTATAATTAATGAGCTTACCCCACAATTTCCAGCTGCTTCGGAGACGATGGAAAGTCCATAGTCACTCAACTTTGCTATCCCATACTCATCAAGCAGGATATTGTTTGCCTTCAATCGATTGTTAAAAAAACCAGGAATAACTCCAGTATGCAAAAAATGAATAGCCTTTGCGACACTAATTAGCACTGCCAGTCTCTCTGACCAATTTAGGACCTTTCCAGGAATGTCCTCTGCACATATAGGGCCGCACTTAGAATTTATAAGTCTATACTGACCACAACATGTAAATAACTGTGAAAAGACCGGCTCTAAGTGACTCTAAAAGATTTGTAAGTTATAAATAAGAGTGACTTTAGAGGATGGGTTGCTATAAAAGTCAAAATGGGGTCACCAAGAAAGTCAAGATTCTTCCATGTTTGCATGCTGTGTATGGATATCATGCTTCAGAATCGCTTACAAGTTTCAATCACTTATAAGAAGATTTCTGTAAGAATTTGTCCAAAAATTACCAGAGAGATAAGCTCCGAAGTTGCCGTTAGAAACATATTCGTATACGAGGAAGACTTTGTTCACTGTGTAATCTTGTTCCCCACCATCAATGCAGTGTCCCAAAAGGCAAACCAGATGCGGGTGGCGAAGCTTTGCAAGCAAGTCCAGCCTGAGTTTAAGATTTCGCATCGAATATTTCTTTGATGAAGGTATGCACCTTATAGCAACCTGGGTTCCATTCTCTAATGTTCCTCTGTAAAGCTGGGAAAACGAAGGAGAGGGATGGTTAAAAATGATCAGGAATGGTGTTAATAAAAGTTTTGGTGATTAACGGATACGATCTCGATTGTTTTCATAAGAAAATACACTTAAATATGCATGATGTATACATTTATATAGGGTATGGGCAGATCTTCTTTTTGAGTTTTTCACTTTAATTTCACAGCACGAGTACCACAAATAGCATGCGTATAAGCAGCTGCAGCTGCATGTGTGTCAAAACCAGTACTTGGAAACTAGCAACTAGCGACTGAAATGAGGTCTGTGGAATGAGAAAATACTTAATCTGTGTGAATTATTAGAAGTTAAAGCTTCTCACTTAGAGCATGCCGTGCATGGGACTAATGAACTCAGCTGGGCACATTGACTAAAATCAGAGCATGAAAGGTAGCTATTAATTTCTCTACTTCGTTTTACCTACACCTCCTTGATTAATCCTGCTAAAGCCTAAGATATGCTACACCATTAAGGTTACAAAATAGTGATCAACAGCTTTATAAGATCTAGGGGAATCACCATTGAGACTTCTACTGAAAACATTCATTAAAAATTCAGTAATTTGGAAGTTTTAGACACTATACCTTTCCATGTGAACCATCGGCCAAAATGGCAGAGTTATTAAAGTTGTTTGTTGCTTCCTTTAACTCTTCTATTGTGAATGATCGGCAAGCTGGGCGACCTTGTATACCCAAATTTGCAGCCTCAGAAATAAAGCCTGAAGACAAAGTAAAAATGAAAACTATCAACTTTAAGCAATATATTTTAGAATTCAATCGACAAACTCAGAAGAGCTTTTTAGACTAAATTCTGCAAACTAAAGCCAGATTTCTGCAATGTCTGCTCGGAGTTTTTCTTAGAGGATGACCTACTTGCATTAGAGAGGATCTCAGAGGAGAATCCTGTCACTGATTTCTCTTGTGCTGCTTTGTGCAACAAATGCTGCTCCGATATCCCTAGAGGGCAATATCTTTTGCACACCATGAGAAGACCGAAAGCCAGGAGAACTATAATGACAAATATACCAGCAATCACACCAACTAATACTACTATTTTTTTCTCTCCAGATGGTTTCCTTTTTACCGGAACATCTATACAAGATGATTCTGCATGCTGATGACGTGAATCAACAGATAAGCAATTTCCACCTAACTTTACCACTCTATTTCCTGATTCAGTACTCAAACAATAAGGCAATCCACCAGTTAATCTGTTATTAGATATATCAACAAGCTGGAGCTTGCTGCCACAGTTTAGATGATCTGGAAGTGAACCACTTAACATATTTGATGCCAAATTCAAGTAGCTGATGTTGGGCAATGAGAGAAGGGAAGCAGGGAGTTTTCCACTTAGTTTATTGAATGACATGTCGAACTGCTGAAGCTGACTCAGCTGGCTATATTTCCCTGGAACCTCACCAGAAAAGGAGTTCTTGCTAAGGAAAGCCATGACCAACCCTTTAGGCATTGAAGGTAGATCAGAATCTAAACTGTTTCCGCTCAAATCTAGCACGTTCAGTTTACTTAACTTGTCAAGATTCGGCAACTTCCCCGATAAATCATTGCCAGAAAGAGTAAGATCAACAAGTGTGGTTACTCTCTGGATTGAAGATGGAAATGTACCTTTCAACTGGTTGTTGCTTATGCTTAGAATTGTCAGATTAGACAATGAATCGAACCAATTCGGGACTGTACCATTGAAGAAATTGTCATCCAGGTTAAGAGTTTGAAGTTTCACCATTGTAGAAATCTTAGGGGGGATGGAACCAAAGAGATTATTTGAACTCAAATCCAAATATTCAAGTGAAGACAACCTATGAATTTTGTCTGGAAGGGGACCCCAAATGCCTAAAGACACAAGACTAAGAACTCTCAAGCTAGTTAGCCTTGAAAGAGTGGTCACAAAAGAATCCATAGAGAAGCTCCCTGATAAAGTTTGATTTGGAATTGCAAATCCCACGAAGTTTTTGACCTTGGCTGGCTTGTCTCCCACAATTCTAAGCTCAGTGACAACATTGTTCTGGCATGTCATATTAACTTGTGTGGATGGAGATAAATAGCATAAATCCATTCCATGATTATTCCAAATTTCTAGTTGACTTGGATACTCTAAATGCTTCCTTATCTGAAGAAGGACTTGAGTTTGTGAGGATTGTAATTGATGAGTACCAGTAATGAGAAAACTCCACAGAAGACATGACAGAAGGAACAAACTACAGTGCCCCATGGAAGGACTCTCTTATCACTCCACACACTTTATGGAGCTTTCAAGCATCTGAAAGAAACAAATAAAAGATACTGATTACCAAGAGAACTTGCTGGTGAATTAAAACAGAGTTGAAGCAGACAGTAACCTGTGAAGGATCAAAATAAGTTGGCACAGCTTCAGCATGAACTGTTGGATTTTTCTATGGTTTTGTTAAAAACTACACTTGACACGGTTACAATGACTCAAGAATTTACCTCAAAACCATAAAAAGGAATCTGTAAATGCTGAGCTTGGGAACAGGTTCAAAACCACCCACTACGCAGAAACAAAGAAAACAGAGTCAAATAATAAACTGATCTTTGGAGATAAGCAGAAAGAGAGGTTAAAGAGATTCTTGCTTGACCCCTTTAGAAGAAGCAATATAGGACTTAAAAATGCTATTGCACAGGCAATTGGAAAAGTTTGCTATGAAAGTTTTTCCTTCCCGATGAAACACCAACTAGTGAACGATAGTGCAGTGAATTTTTTGCAATTTTGTTGAGAAGTTTAGGATTTGGTGTGGTGGGGGGACCTGGAGTAGATGCAGTTACTGCTTCCACATGGTGTCTTCCTCGAAGATTGTGAGCTTTTTTCTAACATTAATGGGAAGGGATTTTTGTAATGGCACAGTTGGAAGTCGAAACACTTCCTCTAGTAATGGACACAGCTAGCAGTGAAAATGCTTAAGCAGAAAAACCAGCTGAAAATAAATTAAAAAACCACCATCTTAGTGAGGGAATTTTCTATTATACTTGCCAATCCAAGTGTCTCGGCTGTCCTTGTACTTAGACATCTGGTTTTTATAACAAAATATATAAACACCGACAGAATCTTGAGCAAAAAATGTTTCTTTCATTGCCAATATACACAAGTTGGCAAGGTGGGCTTAAAGAAACAACCTTGCATGTCCTTGGAACTAGTGATTGCTACTTACCACAAGAGAGACAGGCTAGCTGGATGGCTCCACTGGTGTAGAGTCAGCGTCTTCTCAGTGAAACTTTCCTATGATTGGCAGGCTTAAGGTTGAGGATAAGGAAAAAAAAAAAAAAAAACCTGTCTTTTTGCAGATATGAAAAGATTAAGTGTGAGTTAAAAGATTCTAGAATCCAAGTCTGCTTCAAATTAAAGACAGATTTTCTTTGTATTATCCATGTCCATGGCAGCAAGTAGCCTTGAATGATTTCCCTATTCAATTCTCCAGCATACATGCATTGATAACACATACCAGTAATGCTTCAATGGTGATTTCAGAGCCGACTTTGGCTAGATTTATTGTTTATTTAGACCTTTATTTTCACCAATTTGTCAACAAAAAAAAAAACTTTTTTTTTATTACTAATGTGATTAAATAAGCACATGTTCTCTTCCAGTTAATAAAATACAAATTCTAAAAATTAAGAATTTATCTCGTTTAATTTTGTTTTTTTTTTTATTATTATTTGGGTTATTATCATTAACTTTTCTTTCATCACATAATTTTATTATTCCTATCTTCTTATTAAGCAGTTTTTTTTTCTAATTTTGACAAATTATAACCCAAATATTTTCTTGATTGAAAAAGTGAAAAACAATATGCAAATAATAGTGTTTAGACGGTGCAAAAACATTTTTGGAAAAATATTAATTTTTTTGTTTCAATTTTTTTTTTATTTCGATATTGTTTTGATATACTAATATAATATGGAAAATAGATTTTAAAAAATATTATTTTAATATATTTTTAAATAAAATAATATTTTAAAAAACAAGTTGCAAAACATGCTATTAACCAGCTAACCATGCATTGATTTATCATTGCAGATACTGAAAAGATAATTAATAACACATCATCATATCGGTCAACATGATTTGGATATGACTCCTTACTTTATGAAAAGATTCGATCTTTACATAAAGATGGCTTGAAAACTAAAATTGAGATTAAAAAGGCAAGAATGCCCCACATGAATAAAATCATGAAAGGAGATGATTGAAGTGGGTGTGAGCGGAAAAAATATATATTTTTTTAAAAAATTATTTTTAATATTAATATATTAAAATAATATTAAAATAAATTAATTTAAAATAAAAAAAATAATTTTTTTTTTAATATTTTCTAACTACAGTATCAAATACTAACTTACTCCCACCTCATCCAAACCACCATTATAATTTTAAAAAGCTGTTATAAATTGTAGAGTAATTATTTTTTAAATGATTTTTTATTAAAAATATATTAAAATAATATTTTTATTTTTAATGTTAACACATTAAAATAATATTAAAATATTAATTTAAAATAAAAAATTATTTTTTAAAAAAACACTTAAAAAATAAGAATAAACAGGTCTTAAGGGCTTATTTGACCACCGGCACCAGAGGAGGAGCTACCTAATTAGCTTCACAAGGCAGGGGAGCATTTATATGTAATAAATGAGAATTCAGATGCATAGAGTTCTGGATTTAACATCCAGATTAATGATCGCATTTTAATAGGATTTTATAAGTTCTCATCTTTTTTAAAGATATTATTTATTTTTAAAATATATCATTAAAAGAAAACGTGTAAGAATTTTTCTTTCTTCCACGTCAAAAGTTATATTTAAACTAGTTCGTATTGAAATTAAGTCTTTTTCAGTAATTTTTAAAAAACTGAATTCAAAAAAATACATTTTAACCTTCAAAGCTTACAAGGAATAATTAATTTAATTTAATCTTTATTATGATCTCCAACACTTTTAGAATTGTCTTTTTGTTTGAAAATATATTAAAATAATATTATTTTTATTTTTTAAAATTCAATAAATTAAGTTTTTTTAAAATCATCTTTGCACCGAAAAAGCAAAAACAGACGGTGATTAATCATTAATCACCGATAATTAATCATCATTAGTGAAAAGCGGAGTTCTAAAAAGGAAAACAAAAAAGGTGACGAGGATGAAAGCCCATTTGTTTAGGCGCAGAGGGAAGGGCCTACCGTTACGTGTTTTCCACTGATTGGTATCATGGTGTGTCTTCATCAAATAATTCAGGCCACTGACTCTTGCAACAAGATGATATTGTTATGAGTGAAGACCACGTGCCTTTGCTTTTGTTATTTCAAAATTAAATAAGCAAAATAAATAAATAATTCCAGCGATCAGATCATACGTTGAAAATTTGTCACCTGGTGGGCCAGTCGCCCCCTCTGCATGATTAACACTAGATGGGGCAATGATTTTATATTTGTATAATATACTACACAATGAAAAAAATAGTACAAAAAATCTTGCGTTGAAATATGTATGTATATGTATATGTACATGTATGTATATGTACGTAGACTTGAACAGTCATAGACTATTGTATTTAGTTGTCTGTAAGATTTTTTTTTGGCAATATTATTAAACTTGTATGAGAAATTAGATTTTAAATATCTTGAATTTTAAATTAAATTATATAAAAATTAATTTGATATTACTATTTAAATATAATAGTTTCACTTGTGGTTAGATCAACATGATCAAAACATGATTTAATTTTTAAAAAAATTCAAAATAATGTTTTATGATATTTTTTGAGGTATTGAAAAATGATATTTTAAGTTAATTTATCTAACTTATAACTCTAATTATGAGCTTAATCAAGTTTAATAAGTTTATTTTTTAATATTTATTTTTTATTTAATTATATAATAATAAAAATAGATATTATAGGAAAACACTGAATAAAATCATTCAAAAAGTATAATTTTTTTTCAAAGTAGTTTGTTTATTATTTTCTTACAAAAAATGGTTTTTTTTATAATAGTATGGCTCGTTAGATAAAAAGCAACAGCAATCATGAAAAGATAATTAAAAAGGAAAAGACAAAGATATTGAAAGAAATCTAATTTAATAATTCTAAAAATATTTTTTTAAGTAAAAATTTATTACGATTATAAAAGCAAGTTTTGATTGAAAAAATTAAAAATCATAAATTAATTATTTTTACCACCCATATAAAAAAATATAAAAATAATAAATCTGAAAAAATATAAAAAAAATACAATATTTTTTTAAATAGTTAATTTATTCTCATTCAATATTATATTAATAAACAAGTTATTTTGAAAATTCTACATATTAAGTTAATACATAATTATTTATAAAACAATAGACAATATCATAAAAAAAACCCTAATATTCTTAAAAACAATGGTATAAACAGAAAATCGCTTAAAGAGAAATCTCATGGCAGAGGCAAGTTATGTCCATGATGGGAAGAGCAACGCAAGACGAGATGACAAGAATCATGCCCAAAGAGCGAAGAGCAAGCTATAAAAATTGAATCTGATTTGGATCATGAGGTCCCTCAAATACAGAAGCCGCAGCCCTACATGCATGAAGCAGAGCAGGAAATCAACAGTAACAAATTCAAAAGGTGATTTGATGTTTTCAACTGATTAGTGAATAATCAACGTGTTTAGGCAACATGAGTATTCCTGCAGCCAGACCAGCAGCAAATCTTGGATATCTACCAATCTTCCTGGTAGAAAACAGATGTAAAAGACTGAAGGAAGTTGTTGCCAAACATAAGGAGTAAGCAAAAATGAAGAACAAGAAATATATAATCTACTCTGAGAGAATACGAAGATTCCGGATGTTCATTCATCAAAGAAGAAGAAGAAGACGGATCACATATTCTGTAGAGAGCAGCAATGTTGTCAGCAAGAAACATGAATGACACCACCTAATATTACAGAACCCGAGCCATGTTAAGTTGCATTTTCTTGTAAGATATAAGAACTGTTGCCAGAAGCACTAAAAGAGCTGAGAAATTATCCATGAAAAGCAAAGTAAAGTGATGATATAAAAACACTTCAGAATTGTAGCTCAAATTCATAAGCTGGTTGAAACAAGAGCACAGAAAATGAAATGCATGCCAGGCAATCCTGATAGAACAATGAACAGCTCTGAAGCTTTAGTTTGAAGTTCAATCTTAAAACAACACACCTGAAAAATCTTGTGTCTTGACAAACTGAAAAAAATCAGGCTGGGAACTACATGTTCCTTCAGAAGATGCCATTCATCCAGCGAGCATGTCACATGCTAGAAAATTTTCAATCCAAAGATTTTTCAGTGTTGGTGCAACATGCCATTGTTAACTTGAAATGGCTGTGGCTGTAAATTATAGTTCATTTACCACTACTAGCTATGCTCCTCTGTTCTGTAGTTAGAAATTTTCAATAGCTATTAACTGTGCTAATCCATCATCTGGAAACATGGTTTAATAGGTCGAATTGCAGCTTTGAAATCTTCAAAAAATCTTTGCTAGGAAAAACGGCCTGCACATTTCCTTGCAGCTGCAGCCAATCTTCAAAAAATCTTTGCTAGGAAAAACAGCCTGCACGTTTCCTTGCAGCTGCAGCCATCTTGAGCCTCTCAGTTTCTGGCATCCTTCAAACTTTGAGGATGACATCTGCATACTCTTCTACATTCTGGGCAAGAAACCCCGTTTGCTGCCAGTCTTCTGCATTTTTGGCCCAGCAGAATTATGAACTGAAGAGAGGAAAGTTAGAACATCAATGTAATTTCATCCAGAGCATTCTCAAGATAACAGGAGAAGTATCATCCTTTAAATGAAAAATAAATAAATAGAAATGCTCACCAATTGGTATGGCGCCCGCAGCCATTTACTCCACAACACTAATGCCAAAGTGTTTATTGTTAAAAACGACAACACCAGTCATGCAAAATTATTGGCCAAGTCAGCTTCATTTCCCGGTTCTTCTACAGATTGTTTAGTTTCAATATTGCTTTGCTATTCTTAGAAGTTTGTTTAGGATTTCATGGCTAAAATAATGAATGTAACCGTTAGCTCCTAGTCTTATGTAACTAACTTGCCTATATAAGGCAACTTAGCTCTGCAAAATAAATATCATCTTGTTCTCTGTTTTTTCCAACTTCTCTCATTTTATTCAACAGTTTGGTATCAGAGCCTCACAATCGTGGGGATTATATTCTTGTGTCTTTATCTTTCTTAACCGTTAGCTCCTAGTCTTATGTAACTAACTTGCCTATATAAGGCAACTTAGCTCTGCAAAATAAATATCATCTTGTTCTCTGTTTTTTCCAACTTCTCTCATTTTATTCAACAGTTTGGTATCAGAGCCTCACAATCGTGGGCATTATATTCTTGTGTCTTTATCTTTCTTCTGTCTGTAAAATGGGTGATCTGCAAGTTATTGGCGGAATTAAAAAACTCAACCATACTAACTACAACACTTGGTCTACATGTATGATGTCCTACATGCAAGGTCAAGTTTGTGGGAGGTTGTCAACGGAATTGAAACTTTACAACCAGAAGCAGAAGACACAAATGGTATATTGAGGAAGTGGAAGATAAAAGTGGGCAAAACGCTGTTCACTTTGAAGATAACAATTGATGATGATATGCTGAAGCATACAAGGGATGTCAAAACTCCCAAAGAAGCTTGGGATACATTTGCCAAGCTGTTCTCCAAGAAGAATGATACAAGACTCCAATTACTTGAAAGTGAGTTGTTATCAATAACTCAACGCAACATGACAGTTGCTCAGTATTTTCACAAAGTGAAGTCATTATGCCGTGCAATTTCTGAGTTGGATCCACAAGCTCCCATTCAGGTAACCAGGATGAAAAGAATTGTTATCCATGGTTTGAGATCTGAATAAAGGGGTTTCATTACTGCAGTACAGGGATGGCAAAATCAACCATCACTTGTTGAGTTTGAAAATTTGCTTGCTGGTCAAGAAGCTTTAGCTAAGCAAATGGGAGGAGCCTTACTAAGGAGTGAAGAGGAAGCACTCTACGTCCATAAAGGCAGTGGGAAATTCAAACAGCATGGAAATGGTGGATTTAGAAGGCATAATGACAAGATGAAGAATCATCAAGGTGTAGGAAGTAGTCGTGCAATGGGAGGCTGGAAAACTCAGTAACAATAAGAAATTTGAAGGAAAATGTTACGATTGCGGAAAGAAGGGTCATATGGCAAAATTTTGTACGTGCAGGCAAAGTTCATGGAGAGTAATGTTGTTACTTTTAAAATTGAAGATGAATGGGATGCTGAGGCATTATTTGTTACAGAAGAAGAAGAAGATGAGCTAGCCCTTATAGCAATACTGTCTGATCAAATTGAGTATGATGAGCCAGCCCTTACAACAACAGTCTGATTAAATCGACTATGAGAAAGATTGGATAGTTGATTCCGGTTGCTCCAATCATATGACTGGAGATAAAGAGAAGCTACAAAACTTGACAGAATACAAGGGAAATCATGTAGTAGTAACAGCCAACAACTCAAAATTACCAATAGCTCATGTCGGTAATACAATGGTCTCTAACCATTATAGTGATAATGACGTATCACTTCAAAAAGTCTACCATGTTCCGGGTATGAAAAAAAACCTTCTTTCTGTATCACAATTAACATCTTCATGGCATTTTTTTTTGTTTGGTCCATAAGATGTGAGAGTCTATCACAGTCTTGAGATTGCAGAAGAACCATTGATGAAGGGGCAGAGATTAGAGTCAGTCTATGTAATGTCTGCAGAAACTGCATGCATAGATAAGACTTCTTCTTCTTTCTCCCTTCTCTCTCCCTTCTAAACCAGAAAGAACGAGACAACAGACTTATGGCATCTACGTTTGAGTCATGTTAGCTATTCTAAACTAGCTGTAATGATGAAGAAGTCGATGTTGAAGGGACTTCCTCAACTTAAAGTAAGAACAAACACAGTGTGTGCAGGATGTCAGTATGGGAAAGCTTATCAGTTGCCGTATGAAGGGTCCAAGTTTAAAGCCAAGAAACCATTGGAATTAGTCCATTCTGATATTTTTGGACCTGTGAAGCAAGCTTCTATCAGTGGAATGCGATACATGGTGACTTTTATTGATGATTTTTCACGGTATGTGTGGGTTTATTTTCAGAAAGAGAAATCTGAAACCTTCTCAAAATTCCAAGAGTTCAAGAGTGCAGCAGAAGCAGAGATTGGTGAAAAAATTAGTTCTTTACGCACAAACAATGGGGGAGAGTACACATCCGATGAATTCTCTAATTGTCTACTGGAACACCAAATACATCATCAATTCACATGTGCCAACACTCCATAACAGAATGGCGTAGAAAAAACAGACACCTCACAGAACTCTGCCGCAGTATGCTCCATGCAAAGAATATTTCAGGACGTTTTTTAGCAGAAACAATGAAAACTGCTGCTTATGTGATCAACAGGCTTCCTCAGCAACTGTTATGTTTCCTTAGACCCTTTGAAAAAATATGGAACATGAAACCTACAGTCAGTTATTTTTGTGTTTTTGGATGTGTATGCTATGTGTTTATATTTCTGATCATTTACGTAGCAAGATTGACAAGAAAGCCGTGAGATGTATTTTTGTGGGCTATGACAGTCAAAGAAAAGGGTGCAAATGTTGTGATTCTTTAACTGGGAAGTGCTACACATCACGTAATGTGGTCTTTGATGAAGCATCCTCATGGTGGTCTTCAGAAAAGGAGACGTTACCAGATTCAGCTTCTTTGCAGTCTGCCCAGCTTCAACTGGATTTAGAAGCAGGAGAAGTTTCAGATGATGACACAGCACAACGTCCATGACGAACAGGTGTGTTTGAACAACCAAGTGAAGAAGCAGAAGGAAAGCCTAGCAAAACAGTTGAACCAAGACGATCAACAAGAATTCAAAGGCCAAATCCTAAATATGCTAATGCTGTTATAACAGAAGAAGAAGACGCAACAGAGCCGGAGACATTTGAAGAAGCACAGCTCAGTTTGGAATGGAATAAAGCCATGAAAGAGAAATTTGTTGCCTTAGAACGAAACCAGACTTGGGAGCTTGTACTGAAACCAAGAGATGTGAAGCCTATTTCTTGCAAATGGGTCTACAAACTAAAACGTCGCACGGATAGATTAATTGAAAGATATAAAGCACGCCTGGTAGCTCGAGGTTTCTCTCGATAGTATAGACTGGATTATGATAAAATGTTTAGTCTAATTGCAAAAATTATAACGGTTAGAGTTTTACTTGCACTTACAGCTAATAAAAATTAAAATATGTGGCAAATGGATGTGAAGAATGTGTTTTTACATGGAGAATTGGATCGAGAAATTTACATGAGCCAACCAATAAGATTTTAAA